CCTTTTCATTGTTCAAGAAATAAGACTGCTTGAAATCATTCACTCACCCATTCACCCATCCATTCATCCAGACCACGTGCCAGCCGCTGGTCCAGAAGCCAGGGTTTTCATAGACAAATGAAGGGATGAGATCTAGGTGGGGAGACCAACAGCCAATCTCTTCCCAGCCAGTGTCACAAGCCCTGCATGGTGAGACAAACTCTGGAGGAGAGAACATGGGGAGGCAAGGAACCGCCTGAAAAAAAGAAGCATGGAGAAGTAGAAACTGAGGCTCCAGGCTGCCTTACCCACTGTCACACAAGAAACTCTCCTTCCCCACTTTTTAAAGCGCTGTAGGTTGGGCTTTCTGTTTCCCGCCAAGTGCATCCCAACCGATACTCTCAATGTTCTCACCTTGCAGATGAAGAAATGAAGGCCCCAGAAGTAAAATGATTTTGCCAAATGACACTCAGCTAGCAAGTGCCTGAGATGGTTCTTGATCATGGGTGCTTGATTCTAAGTCCCTCCCTTGTGTCCTAGGGGGAGAGACAGGGAGAGCCCCTATTGTCTGAGTCTTGATGAGCTCCCTGGCTCTCCTCTTCTGTCCACAGTAGAGAGATGGCTAGACAGAAGGAAGGTGCCAACTAACACTCAGGTGGTCTGAGCGGTGGTCACTTCCCCATTGGCTAAGTGGTGGGCATTTCAGGATACAGAGCACTTTCATTAAGTTTAGCACTATTCACATGGACAGATAGTGGGTGTGTACGTTCAATCAACCCAAATAGATGAACATGCTGTCTGAAGGCCACAGAGTGCCCCATGAATAATTCCCTGTAAATACACATCCAATGCCCACACTTCAGAGAGACTGATTGAATGTGTAAAAGACTGAATGGCTCAGGGAACAGGAATTAATGGATGGAAGGAATCTATCATGGTTGAGGTCAAAGAGTAGGCTCAATGTAGCAGAGAGCCAGGCTCACCGGCCTGCTGTGAATTTGAAGTATGGGGGCAATTAGGCATGAGCTATTTGTAGACAGAAGGAAAAACGGTGAACTAAGTGGCTTAGGCTTAGTTCCACCTGCAGGCTGGATACAGAGGACTCTCATCCTCAATACAAGCTGCAAAATGATGCCAAAGGTCACCCACGTAGAGGGCAAGGCCCAGTGTTGGAAACATTTAAAGTACAACTTCTGAGCTTTAAAGGAGACATTGTATATATAGATCAACATGAAGGTCAGGAATTCTGAAATCTTGACCGCTAATTGTCCCACTTCACCTTAAGTAATTTTGCTAGATAATGCTGATGCAGCCTGTATTTGTGTGTGGTGTGTGTGTGTGTGTGTGTGTGTGTGTGTGTGTGTGTAGGGGAGGTAGTAAGAGGGAAAAAATGTGGCATTTTTGCCAGCATTTGCCTTTTTTTTTTTTTTTGGTCGTTTTTTTCTCGCTGTTTTCCACCCCTACAATAAGCTGAGCCAGTGTAAGTTACAATTTATTAGCTGGTTGCTATGGGTTACCCCAGTGCTCCGCAGATATTCCCTTCAGAAATAGTAACATTTAATGTAATGTAAAACAGAACTACTGCATCACCACTTGCTTGGCTTCTGCTGGCTTGCAATATTATATCCTTCCCTGCTGAGCTTGAAGCCTCAGGAAATTAGCTAGTGCCATTATTTTATGATGATGATGGGTGTCTGCCATGCCCCTTGTTTCATGAAAAAGAAGGCCTGCAAACCGAGGCTGTCTGCAGGACCTGGGGTGCCAGCTTGCAGTGCCACACAGTGCCTGGAGACTGACTGTTTCATCTGCCTGTTCATTATTTAAGGCAGCCTTCTCAAAGCTGAGTCCCTGTGGGCCTGAGGCCAGTTACCATTTCAGGGAGGCTAGTCGTTACTACCAATGAGTTTTATTCATTCTGCCATCTGTATAATATTTGTGGCAGGCTGGTTAACAAAAATTTGTGGGCTGGTAAACTTTCAGGATAATTTAGTTAAATTACACTTGCAACTGTGTAAGAGTGACTTAGAGGGGAAGGGTTAGAAGATGGTGACCCTGAGTAAAGTCATTCAAGTTAAAATAAACAGGGTAGAAAGAGAAACTGGTGTTTTCAGGTCACCCTCATTCTCTCTTTTCTGCCTGCTCTCTCCATAGCCCACCCATGTAACTACTGCCCCTCTTGAAGCACACCTTTTCCTACCTGTGTGCTCAGTCTTTTCTCTCGCCTGCCCATGGAGGTGTGCTCTCTTTGATGGGTAGGACACCGGGTTGCTCCACAGATGTGTGCTTCCCTCACAGGGACCACTAGTGTAGGAGGAATGCCAGCGTGGCAAGCAGAATGTGGGCTCTGAACGACCTAGGTTTGAAGCCTGGCTCTGCCACTTACTGGCTGTGTGAACTTGGACAAGTTCCTCGACCCTTTGAAGCTTCAGTTTCCATATTACAAAATGCCGATAACCGTATTTGCCCCGTGTGCATGTTGTTAAGGATCTGAGGGGCAATGTACATGTAATTGTGATGTAATACATGTGTATTGTTAAGGATCTGAGGGGCAATGTACATGTAATTGTGATGTAATACATGTGTATTGTTAAGGATCTGAGGGGCAATGTACATGTAATTGTGATGTAATACATGTGTATTGTTAAGGATCTGAGGGGCAATGTACATGTTATTGTGATGTAATACACATGTATTGTTAAGGATCTGAGGGGCAATGTATATGTAACTTAGCACAGAGCGTGGCCCATTGTAAAAAGTAGTCTTGCCTACTCTGTGACGTGGGATATCGTTGTTCCCTTTGCCTGAGAGACTCTTGGCCAGCTGGTCCACCTGCACGTCTCCTGCTTTTCATTCAAGACTCAGTTCAGACACAACCTCTTGTGAAGCCAACTTAGCTACCCTCCTGCCTATCCTTTTCCAAGTCCTCTCCCTGCTGCTCTCCGCTGCTGCTGTGGCACTTCTGCATGCCTCTGATGTCTGTCTTTATCGATGGGTCTGCCTTCCACTGGACTCTGAGCTTTTTTGGGGCTGGCAGCATGCCTTTTAGATCTTTCTTCCTAGCACAGTGCCTGGCACACACAGAGTTTCAGTGAAGTTTGTGGGGTGTATGAATGAAGTAAAGAAAAATCTAATTCATTAATTCATGTTTACTTACACTATACCTGGTGGAGAAAAGCCATGCCTCTATTCTACAGGCCAGTGGCAGCCACCAGGACTAAGGGACAGTGCATGCCATAGTCTTTATCGTTCAAACGCCTTTGGCTGTAAATAACAAAATATGAAACTCACAATGGCTTAATAATAAGAAAATTTACTGTGCTTCACAGCAAGCAATCCAGAGGTGTGCAAACCTTGAGGATGGTTAATATAGTTCTTCAGTAACGTCATAAAAGACCTAGTTTCTTCCAGCTTTCAGCCTAGCTATCTTCATGGGGTTGCATTTTTCCTCACGGTAACTCTCCTCAGAGTGAGAAGTGAGGCACAGTAGATCCAATCCAGATAATATGACAGTGATTGCTCTTTTTTTTTTTTTGAGACGGAGTTTCGCTCTTGTTACCCAGGCTGGAGTGCAATGGCACGATCTCGGTTCACCGCAACCTCCGCCTCCTGGGTTCAGGCAATTCTCCTGCCTCAGCCTCCCGAGTAGCTGGGATTACAGGCACGCGCCACCATGCCCAGCTAATTTTTTGTATTTTTAGTAGAGATGGGGTTTCACCATGTTGACCAGGGTGTTCTCAATCTCTTGACCTCGTGATCCACCCACCTCGGCCTCCCAAAGTGCTGGGATTACAGGCTTGAGCCACCGCACCCATCCCGACTGCTCTTTTTAAAAAGGGGAAAACCTCTTTTAGAACACTTTGCCCCTACCTGGTAGACTTCTGCTTATGGCTTTGGCCAGAATGAAGTGATGGGTCCTTTTGGAAAACCAGTTATTAGCACAGGGAAAGAGAATACAATGAGCAGCCCAGGGGAAACCCACGGTTGGTGAATAGGACATGTTGCCAAGCAGATTGGAGTTATGTTAGGAAGCGAGAAGTGCAGGAATGAAGTTGTGTTGGATGAGCAGCCACACAGCGTGCTGCTGTGTGCACGTATTCATTCATTCATTTAACAGATATTCAGTATCTATCACATACCCAGCACTGTGCTGGAGGCTGTGGACAGTAGTGAACAAGAGAGACAAGTCCCTCCCTGTCAGGCCTGCCCCTCACCCTCTGCCCTTTGAGATGGAGAGTGTGTCCAGGCCTCCCCGCTTCACCCTGTGAGATGGGGAGGCATTCAGGGCCTCTCATCTCAGCATGGGACTGACAGGTCTGCCCTGGCCTCTCTCAGGCATGAGCACTGCTGTCTGGGCTATGACACGCATGGGCATTTATGTGGGAGCCAAAGTCTTCCTCATCTACGAGGTAAGGCTGAGGTGAGCTGTGTAGTGCATTGAGGCGGGGAGCAGAAGTCTCCAGGGGTACAGGCTGGGGTCTGGTCTGTGTGGGTCACTAGTCACCCTGGGAGCCTCTGGATGACCCTGGCGGAGCTAACGTTCCAGACGTCTCAGTAGGGAAAGAGATCGTGGCCATGTAAAGAAATAAACAAGATGCTTGCAGAGTGCTGTAACTGTCAAAGGAAATCAGCAGGGCAGGGGGCAGAGCGTGAACAGGGCCTGCGCTGGAGGTGGACCTGGAAGGTCCTCCTGAGAAGGTAACGTTTGATCAAGTCAGGAGCCACGAGTCCGGTGCAGATCAAGAGAGATTCCAAGCAGAGCAGACAGCCAGTGCAAAGGCCCGAGGCAGGAATGAAGGGGCTCTGTGGCGGGAGCAAAGTCTGTGCCTAATGACTGATCAAAAGTTGCTTCTGGCTCCCAGCCCGGCTTCTGCCCCAGGCTGAAACAGATCACCAGTAACAACTCTAGCTTCCCAGAGCCTGTCCTGCCCGGACTTGCAGCTCCACCCAGGTCAGAGGCACAGCTGCAGGGACCACAGAACAATGGGCTCGGCTCTGCAAAGAGAGGAAAAGCCACCAGGGTTTTGACAAAGAACCCAGGAATGGCGTTAAAGGTTTCTTTGGGCACTGTCCAATTTATGTAGCAATTGTGTTGGCCACATCTGCGGAGGTATAACAAGATAGGTGGAAGGCGAGGAAGGAGCTACTTTCTTTATGTGTGTTGACACCGCTCTCCCATGGTCCTATACACCTCACAGCTCCCGCAGTGTGACGGGTGGTCCCAGTGGCTCCCATCTCATCTGGAGGCAGGACAGTGCTGCTGCCAGTGTGTGGCAGCTCCGCCAGGGGCTGAGAAGGGAGAGACAGTAATTCTCAGTTTGGTGTCATTATCCCTACCACTTTTCTACAGCTGAGTTTCTGGGTGGGCATAAGTTCACTAGCAGCCTAGCTTCCCAATCTTATTGCCCTCCTGGACTGGTAGCTCTTCTTTTCTGCAGTGAAAACCTCTCTGAGGGTTTTAATGGGCCTGCCCAGTTCTGGCCTTCCACACCCATCACAGCCTGGTCAGTCCAGAAAGCACTGGGTCCTCCTGCTTCGTCTGTCAGCAGTGACATCAGGTATCCTCCCTAGGCTTCTGGAAACAAACTGGTCTCTTTTTGTCCCTCTTCCGGGTAGCCTTTTCCCCAGAATGTTGTTACTGGATTCATTTGGTATCTTGTTTTCCTTTGAAACAGTTGTGAAACTTGTACAGGCTCATGAAGCATCCAAATGAGGCAACATCAACATCAGTGCCCTTTCCCTGCCTCATTGCCTCAGGAAACCAACCTAGTAGGTATTTCTTTCTTTCTTTTATTTTTTTTAAGAGATGGGGTTTCTCCATGTTGGCCAGGCTGGTCTTGAACTCCTGACCTCAGGTGATCCGCCCACCTCGGCCTCCCAAAGTGCTGGGATTACCGCGTGATCCGCCGTGCCCAGCCCCTGGTAGGTATTTCTGAGACATCCAATTCCTGTGGAAGTCCCTGGGGATTTCTTACTCAAATCTGCAAAGTGCTTAGTCTTCCTAGACTTTTGGCTCTGGGAAATCTGCTTGGAAGTATATTAGAAAGAGAGTAGCTCCCTGACCTCCATGTGATAAAATTATAGGGTCTCAGAGCAGAGTTGTTTGGCATTCTAGGGGCTGGGAGATTGGTGGGACACCCAGATATCTACTTGACTTCAGGATGGCTGATTACAGTAGAGACCACCACCCTGGACCCAGAACCACAGCTTCCTCTGACTTGCAGCTGTGCTGCTGCATGGGACAGATTCCTTTCTTCTTAAGGCTGAACTTTCTCTTAAAGAGTCCATGTTTGGGTTTGTCCCTAACCGCCCCACCTGCCCTACTCGCTGTCCTAGGTTCTACAGGCACCAGGGACCCCAGTAGTGGACACAGGAGGGTTCTTTCCCTGGAGCTCCAGAATCCAGGCAGACATCTGGGAAGGGATGGGAAAAGAGGTCATTCTACCATTTGGACAAATCTAAATCTAAATTTAACCCCAGCTGCTACAGACTATCAGCATGAAAGAAACATGGGAGGTTATCAGGTCAACTGTTTCTTTTTGCAGATGAGAAAACAGAGGCCCAAAGAGGTGAAGTGGTTGGACCAAGAACATGAACCTCATGGTAGAGCTGGACTGACCATGTCTCCTGACTTTCAGTCTGGGTCTCCGTTCACTGTGCCTTCTGCCCTCGTCCGTTTTAAATTTTATGAAAGGTCTTTTATATTTAAGAACCTCCTCTTTCTGTTCCCGTGCCCACCCTCTACCTTATAGAACTTCTGATAAGATGCCTAGGCCATAAATGGTGTTCTTGGCCTGTCTTGAGTATGAAGACACTTTTGTGGCTTCCTCCTTGAGCACATATGGGGGATCAATACATATTGATTGAATCAGATTATGGCATAATTTTCCATTTTTAAATTCTCCAATACTATATTAATAGAACTACTGTGAAAATAGAAGTGCATCGTTTCCACTTAAATAATTAGGTTAAATCAACTTAGATTGTTATTTTTCCTGCAGGACTTAGAGCTTGCAATGGGCTAAAAAGCACTGTAACTGTGGCCGCCTAGTATGAACTCCAGAAAGGATTCTCCATATTTTGGGGAAAGCTGCACGAAGGTAGATGCATGGAAAATCAAAGGCTTGCCTGATCCTCCACCAGGGAATTCTGGTTCTCTGGGGCAGCCAGAGGAATGCTAGGTGTCTGAGACATGAATGTGCCTGCTCCCTGGTGAAAGGCCTCTCTGTGGCCTCAGGGCCTCTGTGAGGCAGGGCACCATTCCTGTCCCTGCATGAGCACACATGGGGCTTCTGGAGTGGCTGAGACACTTATGTGCCCTGCTTCCTGCTTCCTGGAGCAGAATTTAAGGAAGACTCCTGGGCTCTTGCCTCAGGAGACCAGACGAAACAAAACCTGCCTTCAGAGGGGCATTCTTCTGACTTTTCCTTCAAGTGAGATTGTGTCAGTAGGTTTGGGTTTAAACATTGAATTTCAATTTTGTACACACACGCACCGAGGCCTCGGGGCAATGGGGGTATTTGAAATGAACACCAGGCCAAGTCCTCTACCTGCCAAGTGTTCGATTAAGCTGCTTAGGTCTGTTTCCACCATCCTGTCTTTCAAATATTTATGTGGCAGATTATAGGCAAGCTTCAAAGGCAAGGAAATGCAAATCTGTTCTATAAATCATGGAATAACACAGCTGCTGTCTTCCTCAGTGTGACAGCTTACGAATGCCAGCATTTCTGTCTGCAGAAGGGGTGGTGGGAGTGGGCTTCTCGACTGCAGCCAGGCCTGTGTGCGTGCCAGCGTGTGTGTGTGTGTGTGTGTGCATGCCAGTGTGTGTGTGTGTGTGTGTGTGTGTGTGTGTGCGTGTGTGTGTTGGGGGTGGGGAAGAGAGTAGGATGTGCTCATAATATTTGTGTTTTTGCAAAACAGCAGATTTTATTTTTTGTTTTTTAAATTTCCCAGAAGTTAAGGAGTTAATTTATTTTGCCAATCTTAAAGAACCGTGGAGGGGATAAAACTTCACCCGGGATCTGAGGCATCCAGAGAACGAGAGATGAAAATGGCTTTCGGTTTTGGGGAAATACACCTGGAACGGGAGGTAAGGGGCGAGAAGTCAACAAGCAGTAACTTCCAAAATGAATTTAATTTAGTCTAAATAAATAAAAAGGAAATTGTGCATTGCAAATACTTACGCAAATTAAGTTTTGCCCCCAGGGTCTTAGCAATCTGCCAGTGGGGGGCCCCCCGGTGTGACAAAGATTAGACTTTTGTGGGCTCTTTTCGGCTGTTGCCATGACCACATTGATTTGGTACACTGGTGTTCAGTGACGCATTAACATCCACCAAGACCAACACTGGGGTTTATGGTCCTTGCCCAGCAGCTGGTTTTGGCCTGGTGTCATCCTAAGGAAAACCTGGGAAAGCTGCAGTCAACAGGGTGCAGGGGCCCAAGGGAAGGCGGTGTGTAAGACAAAATGAGTGGGGATAAGGTTTGGCAGGTATTGGTCAGGATTCCGTTGCAAGTGACTCAGACTCACTTAGGCAAGAGGGGAAATTTTCTGGGTTACTGAAGGAAACATTGGATACCAAAACCATGGGAAAGGAAGGAAAGCAGTTGGAACAAAACCTGGAATACTGTCATGGCTGTCTTCTGTCTTTACTCTTTTTCTGTATTGGCTCCTAAGATGGCTGCACATTAGGGTTAGTAAATTTTGTGTATAATGACTTTTCCTACCATAAAGGCTGTTTTGCACATGACAACTTTTTTCTCTGTAGAATCCTATTTTGAATAACCACAGGAAAGAAATTTATGATTGGTTGAGCTGGGTGTCCATGCCCGGACCAATCAGCTGTAGGAAGAGGACAGGGAGTCATGTAAAAACATGGCAGCTCTTATGGTAGTCATATTGATGATGGGAGCTTTCTTAAAAGAAGGGGGGGTAGGGAAGCTTTGGACAGACAGTCCAGTAATCATTGCTACACTCTACAGAGAACTGGAAAAAAAGACCAAAGAAAGCAAGCAAAGAAGGGGGGCCAGGAAAGATGGTATAATGAATGAGTTTCGTGTTGGAATTCATAGATTGCCTCCTTGAAATTCAGTATGGCATAGGGTTCCTTACTGACGCTAACGCTCCTGGTTCTTCTATTTTTCTGATTGTTCTTATTCTGGATCCTTGATTGCTCTGCATCTTTCTCTTCTCTGCATTGAGAATCCCCTCAAGATTGTAGGCTCTCGGTTATGTATCTTCTAGAGAAGACAAACAGCTTCTTTCCAACTGCATAACCAATATTCCCCGTCAGGACCCTCCTCTTACCTTCCAGAAGAAATCTATAGTTAGATTTCCATTAATCACATTTAATGCCTTTCTTTGAAAAGTGTGGTTCCTGAACCAGTCATATCAGAATCACCTGGAAGCTGGTTGGAAACACGGAATCTTGGACCTTGTCCCCAAATCAGAATCTGCATTCTAACAAGATGACCAGGTACTTTGTAAGTTTTTTAATTTGGAAAGCACCACTTTAAGCAATTGGAAATTGAACCCATAATCAGTCTGCTCTCAGTGGTGAAATAAATATTTTTTTCACAATTTTTCTACCAGGTCAATGGCAACACTGTCTAAGAACCCAGATTCACAACAACCTCAGAATTACTTTTTCAATACTTTCTTGACTTTGTTACCTATGTGTAATCTATCACCAATCTGAACCTATTCATTTCACTGTCTCGTTGGTCTGTTTTTCCTAACCATGCCCTCCTCCTTTCTGTGGAATCTAATAGATCCATTTGCCATTCAGCCTCCTCATTTAAAAAATGGGTCATATAATGCTTATAATGCTTCATGTACATATTTACATACTATACAACTTCAGTGTATAATTATCTTCATCCTGGTTAGACCAGTTTTCCACTATGGCTTTGTACACAGTTGTAAGGGATATGGCAAATAACATATTATTAACTATAAAGTACCAAAATCTATCAACAATTTTTATTTTAAATAAAGTAGAAGGGATTAAAGATTATTTCTAAAATATTTTCCTTTATCTGCACTTTAATATGCTATAATGAGTAACAGAGGAAGTAGTGGAATAATACCTGGTAAGCCAGAAATTGTACATAGGAGTGTCTTACATATGAGCATTATCTATCACAGAGGTCAGCAAACTCTTTCTATAAAAGGCTAGATAGCATTTTAGGCCTCCTGGGACATACGGTCCCTGTTAGAACTACTCAACTCTGCTATCATAATGAGGAAGCAGCCAGAGGCAATACATCTTGATTACTGTAGCTTTAAAGTAAGTCTTGAAATCAAATCAAGTCCTCCAATTTTGAACTTTTTCATAATTGTTTTGGCTAACATAGGTGATTTTCATTTCTTACAAAGTTTAGGTTCAGTATAACAACAGCCTAAAGAAAAAAAATGCCTGCTGTGATTTTGATTGCTGTTACATATAATCTATAGATCATTGTGATGAGAATTGACAGCTTAACAATATTGAGTTTTCCAATTCACAAATGGATATGTCTCTCCATTTTTAAAGGTCTTTAATTTCTTTCAGTAGTTTTTTTGTAGCTTTTAGCATAGGTCCTATACGTTTGGTTAAATTAATTCCAAAATATTATCTATTTCTGATGCTATTGTAAATGAGGCTTTAAATTTCTATTTCTTACGTATTTGTTGCTTGTATACAGAAATACAATTGATTTTTTATGTGGACTTTGTATGCTACAATCTTACTAAAGTCACTTATTACTGTAGTAGCCTTTTAGGGTAGGC